AGGGAGCATGGAGGAAGGCAGAATCTCCAGTAGGTACTACTCAATCTGTCTGGGTGGAGCTGATGAGAGGAAATACAGAAGGGTAACTTGTGATACTGTAATGAATAATACTTATCAGGACGGATTGTGAGGGTTGGAAATGCAAAGGTAGACATTTTGTAACATGGAAGGGAGTGATTAATTCTCTAGGCTAGGAGCGGAGGTCTCTGGGTCCATCAATGGAGAAAAGCCGAGAGCGGGACCCTACCCAGAGAAACAGAGATGCCTGAGATAGAGACAGAGACGACGATGTGGAGTGATGAAACAGCTGGGGACTTTGGACTCAGAGAGGGAAATGGACTGTGACTGAAAACTGGGGGGTGGGGGTGGGTGGGTGGGAAACTGTAGGGGGTGGGTTTCTAGGATATACCCTTTGGTTGGTTGATGATGCATGGAGGGGATTGGAACCATGGCAATGAGATGATATATGATGGAATGAATGTAAGACTAAGGTTCTCCCTTGTAAACTATCATATAATTCACAATAAAACATTAAAAAAAAAGATGAATAACTTACGTGTGATTGGAATTGCAGAACAGGAAGAGGCAACAACAACAGCAACAAAAACACGTTGAGAAAATTGTTGAACAGTTGTTGATAGAAAACTTCCCTAACATTATGAAAGACAAGAAGATAAGCATTCAAGAAGCTGCATGAACCCTAAACACGACAGACCCTAAAAGAAAATCACCAAGATGTATTGTAGTCAAACTTTATAAAATCAAAAAAAAGAAAAGAATCCAGAGAGCAGTTTTGAAAAATTATCTAAAAATATTACCAATAAGACTAAACTCTGATTTCTCAGCAGAAATCAGGCAGGCAAGAAAAAAATGGAGTGGCATATAGAAATCTCTGCTAGAAAAATATAGACAGCCAAGAATCATACACTCAGCAGAATTGTCCCTCAAATGACAGCAAAGTTAAGACATTTCCAGATAAAGAGAAATGAAAGGAGTTTGCAAAAACCAGACCAGTTTTACAAAAACACTAAAGAGTTCTTTGGACAGAGAGCCAACAACAGACAATACCCTAAGATTAACCACCAAAAGTCAACCCAAATAAAGAAGTATCCAAGGTAAAATAAACCTACAAGACTGGAAATAAGGAACTATAGATATCATTTTATAATGAAGAAAACTACAAAGAAAAAGAGAGAACAGTATACTTACAGAACTTCCAAATGGTGAGGAAATCAAGTAGATTTCAAGTTAGAGCAAAGTGTTTTAAACTTGGGTAGAAATTGATAAATTACAGGGTAACCTCAAAGAAAATTGATAAGCCTTCTCATCAAAATAAAAAAAAGGAAAGTCATAAAGATTTAATAAACATTAAGACAAAACAACAAAAAAGGTGACAAGAAAACCCACAAACAAAATGAACTCAACACAGAAAATTATGTAAAACAAATAAACCAGCAGCACCCCCAAAAAACACAAAACAAAATGATAGCAATCAGTTCAAGATCAAGTCTTACTCCTAGCCCTACCCCAATTCTTACCTCTTAAATGAACACTAAGGAGATCTAGTAGTGTAGTGGTTACGAATTGGGCTGAGAAC